CCAACCCAGCGCAAGGCAGGTACAAGGACTCCTGAAGGAGCATTTCTGCCCAACAAATCTGGTTCTGTTTTTTTGCCATTTAATACTAAGTAATTCTGACGGATGTTCTGAACCTATTTCTTTGACTCTTGCCTGGATTCTGAGGCCATTTTCCCAGCTATCTGCATACTCCTTGGGCTGAGTACCTGGACTCTGAATTGCTTTTTTTCATGCTGACTTTCCAGGCTTGTTTATTACTTCAAGCACTGACTGCCCATTTGGTCTTGGATATAATGTTACTTCTAACCTTTGAAACCAGGGTTTCCCCCTATTTTGTTTCCAAAATTACAAATGGAATGGAGAATAGTATGATATAATGGAAAAAAAGCATTTGGACTCCAGTCAAAAGAACTAGGGTTTGAATACTCTTTCTGGTTATCAATTTTTTGATCCTGGAAAAGGCACTTACTTTAACCCCTGGATTCCTCAACTCCAAAGTGGTACCAATAATAAATACTGGGTTCTTTATCTAGGAGGGACCACTCTGTTTCTGATTTCATGCCAAAAAAAGCTTCTTTTTTCCCCACCCTAATTGTTGTTCCTCAAGAGGTCAGACTGCTAATCTGAATGGTCACATTCTAAGACGATGATTAGGCCACACTTACACTAAAGGCGGTCCATGAACAAGCTGCATCAGCATCATCTGAAAGCTTATAAGAAAATCAGAACCTTAGATCATACCCGAAACTCTTAATCTGCATTTTAACAAGAGTCCCAGGTAATTACCAGGCACGTTCCGGTCTGAGCAGCTTCGCCGGGGAGGGTCCGCGGCCTTCACGCCAGCCTTCCTGCTCCAGCCTCCTGCTCCGCTCCCACAGCCAGGCTGCCTGAGCTTGGACGGCCTCTCGGACCCAAGGGCATATTGTTACCAATGGCATGCTTAGCAAGTTAACGCAGATATTTCTGTCGATAAAGTGTGAAGAGAAGCTTGTGGTTGTGAAGTTATCTTTTCCTAAAGGAAATGTGAACTCACTTATGTCGAAACCAATAGGAAGGAAGCCTGGGCAGGTACGGAAGTGGAGCTCATCTGAGTGTGGTCTGAGACAAATCCCCGAGTGCGGAGAGGGCTTGCCTTTTTAACGAGCTCGCCAGTGATGGATGCCTCTCCAGGGAATGCCTGGCTTCCAAGAGGGGAAAGAGTATAACTGAACTTACAGATCGTTCTTTCTACCCCACAGAAATGTGTGTGTGAGCTTGGAAAGATGGAGGCTCTCTGAAGGTCCCTAGTGAGGTGGGCTGGATCAGAGTGGGGTTATAGAATGTGACTTGTCTTCTGATTAATATTCATTAGATTTGGATATTCTTGAATCAATGGTGGCTTATTTAAAAATGTTTGCATCTTTTACCTGTGCTTTCATGTTGCTTAATTATTAAATTTTTTTCCTGTATTTTTCTATTCTCTTCCTTTTCAGGTTTTTCCTTTTCTTTATACTAAGTTGTCATAATGTGTTATCCAAAGAAGCCTATTTTTAACATTGTAATTAAACATTGTATGTGATGGCTACCTGAATAAAATGCAAACCTCATGTAAAACAGAAGTTTGGGAAGAGATCAGTGATTGCTGGAGGGTGGAGAGGGGGACTGATTACAAAGGGGCATGAGGAAATTTGGGAGGGGACATTCTAGAACTGTTCTCTATCTTGACAATGGAGGTGGTTCCCCGAATGTATGTATTTGTCAAAACTCATAGACCTCTACACTTTAAAAGGGTGAATTTTAATCATAACTTAATAAAAAAGGAGGGAGTTCCACTCTGGAAAACAAATTTAAAAATTAAAATAATGACACTGAGTTCCATAGGATGGGTGTGGGTGTGGTGGTCGTGGGTGTATATGTCCTTTGTAAGAGGCAGCTTGCTGTCCTGGTTAAGAACATGACTTTCAGAGCCAGGGGACCTGAATTCAACCTGTAAATGAAAAAAAAAATTCTCTGCTGCCTCAGTTTCCTAATCTGTCAACTGAGGTACAGCAGCATCTCTCTCATAAGGGCTATTGTCTGGGTTAAACAACAACAAAGACAACGGTAAAACAGAGGGTGGCCACTGAAAATTTAAGGCATTGAAATGGGAGAAGGTCTCCGATGTTTTCTTTTTCCTCACCTCATGCTTGGTGAGGTCATCCTTGTCTCTGCTGAGAGACAGTCTTCATCACAAAGCCGCCACACGTAAGTGTGCCCAGCCCGCCGTTTCAAGCAGCCACTGCTGAGTAAACGTTCTGGAATAAACCTCAGAGAGAATAAATCACCTCTCATGCCACGCTCCCTCCAGGTGAGGACTGAGGTCATTGCAAAAGGCATAACAAATAGTCGACATAATGTCGCAGACTAATAGATTCTATAAGGAAAACTAAATGGAAAATGTTTCTTGAGCGCTGGGCACCTCTGGTGAAGAGACAGTGGAGCCAGGGTTATTATAGATGTAGCTGAATCAATAACACTTTTTCTTTCATTTCTCTCTCATCTCACGAAAATGCCTATTTTAACCAGCAAAGAGGTAAGGAGATATTATCAAGGGCAATTTTTCATGCTCACATGGGTTATATTCTGGGACACTTCGCTTTTTTAAACAGCCCCATTTCTGGATTTTTTCCCCCCTCTCAGAAATGTATTCAATTCTCTTCCAGCAGCATGAATTCATCTGGAAAGCTACGACAATCAATTAAGTAAATGAGAAAATAGAATGCTTGTAATTATGATAATCAAGCTATATGAAACCCACCCTTTTAGGTCCAGTACCCACACATCTTTAAGCAATATATTAATTAAGCTTTAGGTAATTGTTACAATTAAAATCAAGCTTTTACAATTTTAAAAAATCACTGAGCGAGAAAAGGGAAATATTTAAAAAATATATGCAGCTGTTGGTTTTTAATGCAATTCATGATCAGGACTCCATTGTCACTTCCCTGGCTGCACAGAGACCATTCCAGTATGCTTTATTGATGTGACTGCTCATTTACAACTGGAGGAATTCGTATGCAGCACCCTTATCAGATGTTTTCTTGTTTCTCTAAGTCAGAGGTCAGCAAACTTTTCCTGTAAAGGACCAGTTAATAAATATTTTAAGGTTTGCAGGCCAAGAGGCAAAGTTTGAAGATAGAGAAAAGAACTTATATAACAAGAAACAAACTTTGGCAGTTTCTGTATTGATAGGATTAAAACATAATAAAATAATAATTGGGACAATTTTTTTTTGCGATACATACCTACTAATGAGAAAAGCAGAGTCCTTCCTGTTGGGGTAACATTTTGCTTCACTGGAGTTCAATGTGTCTCCCATCCTCGAGTCACTGCAAATGTTCATCACCAATCCATTCTCAGCTTGTGGGCGGCAGGCTCGATGCAGTTCGCACGCAGTGTAGTTTGCCAGCCCCTGCTCTTCATTAGTGTTCGCAACCTTAGGGTGCATCAGAATCATCTAAAGAGCTTGTTAAATATACTGCTGAGCCACACCCCCAAGTTTCTGGTGGGGCCCAAGAATTTGCATTTCTAACCAATTCTCACTTGACACTGATGCTCCTGGTCTGAGACCATACTTTTAGAACACGGCTCTTGACCTTGGTCCTTTTAAAAAGTCACACTGAATACAAATCTACATATTTCATTTACTCACATTTCAGCTTACCCGATAGACTTCACCTTTTTGAGCGCCAAGGTACAGGGCAGAAAATCCCAAGTTAAATTTCTGTTAAACAGTGAAGACATATTTAGCTAGATCAGGAACTTTTGTCTCTGAAACAGCTATTAGTCTCTAGCTTGCAAGGTCAGGCATCAGCGTCTACAGGTGAAGAACGCCTGAACAGCACTTTCCTGGTTCCCCATCAAATTTTTAAAAGAGCATGCAATATTCCAAAGGCTCTATGTGGCTGAAAC